CTGTCAGAGGGATGGAAGGGTCAGAGAGAGCTGCTTGGTTTATAGATGGAGGAAGAAACCACCAGCTAAGAAATTGTAGATGGCCTCTGAGTGCAAAAGATAAGGACACAGAGTATCCACAGAGCTGCCAGAAAGGGTCACAGCCATACTGATACCTTGACTTTGGCCCAGTGAGACTTATGTCAGACTTCTGACATACAGAATCATAGGAAATAAATTTGTGCTATCTAAGCCACTAAATTCAGAGTAATTTGTTACCACAGCAATAAAAAGCGTATACATTAAGCCTAATCATGAGAAAAACATCAAACCCAAACTGACAGATATCCCACAAGACACCCTCTCAAAACTGTCAAGATCATCAAAAACAATGAAAGTCTGAAAAACTCACAACCCAGAGGAGACTAGGGAGACATGATAACTACATGTTATATGAAATCTTAGGTGGGCAGATGGACCTTGGTTAAAAACTAAGGAAATGTGAATAAAGTATGGACTTTAGTTAATAGTTATGCATCAGTGTTGATTCATTATTTGTAACAAATGTACCACAGTAATGTAAAAAGTTAATAAGGGAAACTGGATGAGAAATATATAGGAACATTCTGTACTCTCTTTGCAATTTTTCTGTGAGTCTAAAAATGCTCTAAAATAAGTTTTAAAAAATTCACTGGATTTAGATTTTTAGATATAGGAGTTTAGATACAGGAGACAAGGCATGTGAAGTCATAGCAGTACAACCTATCCAAAATAAAGCATTGAGATGAGAAAAAAAAAAAAAGAAGAACTGAAAGGAATGTCTGGATGGCTCAGTTTACAATCTCAAGGTTGTGCTTTCGGCTCAGGTTACAATCTCAAGATTGTGAGATCAAACCTCACGTCAGTCTCCACACTCAGTGCTGAGTATGCTTGAGATTCTCTATCTCCTCCTCCCCCTGTCCCTCCCCCACTATTCACATGTGTGCACTCTCTCTCTTTTTCCCCTCAAAAAAAAAAAAAAAAGGGACTAAAAGAAAAAGTAAACAGAGACTGAATGATCTTTGGGAAAATGCAAAGAAATTTGACTCATGTATAACTGAAGCCCCAGAAAATGAGGAGAAAGGAAGCCAGAAATAATGACCAAAAATTTTGATGAAACCCTCAAATGCAAGAAACTCAGCAAATCCTAAGGAAAATAACCAACCAAAAAAAAAAAAAAAAAAAAGCAACAACACAGTAAGCCATATTATAATCAAATTTTGAAAACTCCTGATAAAGGGAAAAATCTTAAAAGCAGCAAGAGAAGAAAAAATATAGAGAACAAAAATAAAGAAGACAGGGATCCCTGGGTGGCGCAGCGGTTTGGTGCCTGCCTTTGGCCCAGGGCGCGATCCTGGAGACCCGGGATCGAATCCCACATCGGGCTCCCGGTGCATGGAGCCTGCTTCTCCCTCTGCCTGTGTCTCTGCCTCTCTCTCTCTCCGTGACTATCATAAATAAATAAAAATTAAAAAAAATAAAAATAAAAATAAAGAAGACAGCAGACTTCTCATCAGAATTTTGCAAACCCAGAAGATAATGGAATGGTACTAGCTAATAATCAGATTGAGGAATTCAATTTTAAAAGCAGCACAAAGCAAAAAGCATAATTAAACAAGTGGAACTACAACCAAAAAACTTCTGCACAGTAAAGGAAACCATCAACAAAATGAAAAGGCAACCTATTGAAATGGGAGAAAATATGTCACACCTATGAGGATTGCTAGTATCAAAAAGACAAGAGATAGCAAGTGTTGGCAAAGATGTGGAGAAAAGGGAACCCCTGTGCACTGTTAGGAATGTAAAATGGTGCAGCTGCTATGGAAAACAGTATAGAGGTTCCTCAAAAAATTAAAAATAGAACTATCATATGATCCAGAAATCCCCCCTCTGGGAATTTATCTGAAAAAACATAAAACACTAACTCAAAAAGAAATGTGTACCTCCATGTCCATTGCACCATTATTTATAATAGCCAAGGTATGAAAACAACCTAAGTGTCTATCAGTGAATGAATAGACAAGAAAATTATGGTATATATACAATAGAATACTATTTATCCATAAAAGAGAATGAAATCCTGCCATTTGCAAATATATGGATAGACCTCAAGGGCATTATCCTAGGCAAAGTCAGACAGAGAAGAAGAAATACTGCATAATCTTTCTCCCTTATATGTAGAGTCTAAAACAGAACAAAACAAGCTCATAGATACAGAGAACAAATTGGTGATTGCCAGAGGCAAGGCGGGGGTGGGGGGGGAAGACATAGGTGAACTGTTCTTTGTTTTTGTTTTTTTGTTTAAATACACTGATATTAAAAAATAAATAAATAAATAAATTGATATTTTAAAAACCAGAAATTGGAAACTAAAGTTTTTTTTTAATAATCATGTAAGACAATAAGAATAAGATATCTTGTAGTGAATAAAATCAAAATGTTAGAAATCATCAAAGAAGAAGATTAATAAATTTAACTACATATAAATATTTTCAAATGCAACATGAAAAAATATAAACAAAATAATAAGACAGATAGCAAACTGAAAGCAAATATTTGCAACGTATATAACAAGTTCCTAATTTCTATGAAATAGAAAATAAATAAGGTTTCTTCCAAAGTCTACTTATAAAAAGACCAAAACTCCAATAGAAAAATGAGCAAGTACATAAATAGATATTTCATAGAAGAAATGGGTAACAGACACTTTTAAAGATATTTGACTGTAGCTATAATTAAATAAATGATCCTTAAAATAAGAATCTTTAATAAGTGATTTTGGCAAAGATCAAAAGGCCTGATAAGAAATGGTTTTCTGCAAGTTCAAAGGAAACAGATATTCTCACACACATGTTTTAGGACAGAAAATTGGTGTAACCTCTTTGGAGGGCAACTTGACAATATATATCTTAATGTAAACTTCCTATACCCTTTAACTGAGCATTTCTGGATTTCTGTATTGCTATCTTAGTAGATATAAGCTAAGGCCTGTGATACTCATTGCAGCATTCTTGTTAATATGAAAATGTGTACGTAATCCAAAGCTTAAGAAATAAAAAGCCCTGCAGTGGACATAAAACTTAAAATTTAGTTAAAAAGACAAGATTTACATACTGGAATCAATTGGGAAATAATCCTAGGGCAATGTATCAACTTGCATATTGTATGTAGGCGAATTATGTTGCTGATCCCCTAAAGTCTTTTTAAAAAGACAGAGTCAAAAAAAAATAAAAAATAAAAATAAATAAAAAGACAAGAGTCCACCATTGTAATGGGTTAAATATTGACCCCCAAAAGACACGTTCATGTCCTGACACCCAGAACCTATGAATATGATTTATTGTAACCTGGGCCTTTGCAGACATGGTTAAGTTAAGGAAACTGAAATAAGATCATTCGAGATTATTCTGGTGGGCCTAAATCCAAAGACAAGTGTCCTTATGAGAGAGAGAAGAGGAGAAGACACACAGAGCAGAAAGCATCAGAAGAGAGAGAGAGAGAGAGAGAGAATGAGGGATTGCATGGATTGTGCTACAAGCCAAGGAGTGCAAGTCAGAAACCAAAAGAGGCAAGGAAAGATTCTCCTCCAGAGCCTTTGGAGGCCAAGAACAATGGTCATTTTTATGCTTTTGCTATTGTATATATAGAGAGTTACTAATTATTGATTAATTACCCTTGTCTTTCAAAGTACATAAAGTCAAATAGATGTAAGATCTTTAACCCTCCAACTGTCTACATTATTTCACTTAACACCCAGGTTCTGGATTGGTCAGAATTTTATCATACCTTTATTATACCATTTTATCATACCTTTTCTCAACTTCATGGGCCTATGTGGTCCCATACGGGATGCTAGGTGATTTATCCCCTTCCCAAGCTGATAAATTATCACTATCGGACAAATTTCCAACGTTGGTGTTTTTTACATCTCTATTCCCATTCAATGCCAGAAAGATCAAGAGCACATAAAGACTAGTTTTTGCTTTGTTGTTGTTGTTGTTGTTGTTGTTTGTCTATATACCTAAGGATAATTCTTTAAAAACCTTTTTGATATATTTATACTTTTAATGAGGACAACTAAATAAATTAAATGCATTTTCAGAACAACAATAAGGCTGGTGATCTTGATAAACCTGAATCAGTAGAAACATTTTATCTATTTCATGTGGCTCAATAGGGAAAATAGGGATGTACACATCTCAAGCATCCCCCCACACACACACGTTTCCTATCACAGACTCTAACAAAACTTAAACATGCACTTTAATGATATTATCTGACCTATTTTTCATAGAATGACCCATTTTTCTGAAAGACTTAGACCAAACCCCTATTCCCAGGTTTTGGGCCACCAGAGAAGGAAGGAAGTGTACAGAACTAACATTTACTGAGTAGCTATTACTTCCCAGGTGCTCTGCTAGATGCTGAAACACCCTATTGCCCTGAGAGGTCATTCCCTTTGAGGTTGAGGCTCTAATTCCACTTCAGTATTTTATCATCTCCACCTGGTCTGCTGAAGAAGGCTCCTTACTAGTATCCCTGCTTCTACTTTGGTTCCCTGACAGCCCATTCTGGACTCAGATGCACCGGAGAGTGATTAAAATAGATCGTGGCTCTTTCCTGCCTAAGCCCCTTTAGGCATTTCCCACAGCAATTAGAATAAAATCCACACTCCCTTCAATGGCCTACAAAACCTCTGCATGTAGTCTGGCCCGCACCTACTTAGCGGTCTCTCTCACTTCCTCTGGGACAACCACTCTCTCTCCCACTCACTCATGAAGCTTTGGCTCAGGGGTCAGCATGCTGCAGGCCACAGGCAAACAGCAGACCACCTGTTTTTGAGCAGCCCGTGAGCTAAGAGTGGTGTTTACATTTTTAAAAGGTTGGAAAGAATCAGAAAAAGAACAAGATTTGGTGACACATGGAAATGATATGCAATTCAAATATCAAGGTCCATAAATAAAGTTTTATTGGAACGCAGCCATGCTCACTCGCGTATGTATTATTATCCAGGGCGGTTTTTGTGCCACAGAGAGCTAAGTAGCTGCAGCGAAGACTGAGCAGCTCACAAAGGCTTAAGATATTTACTAGGTGGTCCTTGGCAAGAAAAGTTTGCGAGACCCAAAAAGCATCACACTGGTCTTTCTGTTTCTAAGACTCTCTCTGTTCATTTGTGCCTCAGGGCTTTCTATTCTCTGTGCTCGCCTCCTGGAATATTCTCCAGCTCTGTGTGGCTGCTGTGTTCTCATAAGGTCTCCTGGGCAAAACCAGCAGAAAGTCACGTACTGTTAGATTGTATCTCTCACCTATGAAAGGGTCAGTCTCCGATCCCTGGATAGAGAGATTGGGTTTCAGAGTCTTCCTTTCCTGTCTGGCAGCAGCAAGGGAACAAGAAGCTTTTTGGAGGTGGGGGGGGGGGCTCTCCACTCCACGGACCTGGTGATTCCCCCTGCAGTTGCATGAATGGATGTCCCTTGCCTGAACCACCCGGGGTTCTAAGATGCTGGAGGAGAGATTGTGTGTCCCATCCCCCAGACTTGACAGAACACAGGAGGCTTCAGACTCTTCTCGAGCCATTTCAGTCACAACTCCGTCCCGTTATAGCCAACAATGCAGGTGCACAGGCCAGAGTTCTTGGTGTCATTTATGGATGTGGGAATGCAAAGGAGGATGAGATTTCTATCATTACAGCACACTGGTGCACAGAAGACATAGCCCTCTGGATAAAAGGTAAACGCACTGAGGTTGTGGTGTAGTCAAAGTGCACGGATCTTCCATCAGGAGACCTCTCTCCATAGCAGCTGCAGGACCACGCAAGTTGCTGGCGCACTCTGAGCAAGCTTCCTCTTCTGTAAATACCAACTTGCCTAATCCTCTTTCAGATTCCTAAGGATCAAATGAGAAAATGTTTATAAAACTACTTTGCAAACTAAGTCTTAAAGAATAGAAAGTATTTCGTGAGCCCTTTCTTAATACCGTAAAACAAGAACACCATATTCTGTTTAATAAATCCCACTGTGACAACTCCCACAATTTTGTGTGGATTTTAAGACTTTTTAATTCAATTGGTATGTTCTTAAATGTATTATTTTGTTCTTAAAATAGATAAAGAAGGGGTGCTTTGGTGGTGCAGTCTGTTGAGCATCCAACTCTTGGTTTCGGCTCAGGTCATGAGATCGAGTCCTGCATCAGGCTCCACGCTCAGCCCAGAGTCTGCTTAAGACTTTCTCTCTCTCTCTCCCTCTGCTCCTCCTACTCATTCTCTCTCTCTCTCTCTAATAAATAAATACTTTCGAAAATAGTTAAAGGGAAGATACATGTAAGATCTTAGGGGTTGTCAACTTAAAGCACAAATACCTTCAGTAAGATGCAGGGGCAGCCTGTCTAAGGAGAGATGAGGATGGGAGATTCTAAAAAAGAAAGCCACAGAGATAACAGATCAAGGTCAAGTGGGGAGAGAAACACGTGGTACCTCCTCTCACATTTATGTGGCAGTTTTCATTTAAAAACAATATATTTCTCAAAGCAATGAGGTGGACGGAGCGTGCCCCAGGCAGTGTTTCAGGGTAACTGAGTGGACTGAATCCCACACGGAGCATTCTGACAGAGGCTACCCAGAGAAAGTATGATTTGGAATAGAGAGGAAAATGCAATAAATCCATAGACAGTGGGGACAGTGCCTGGCCATGAGCTGGTTTTAGCATCACCCTGTACATCTGCTACAGCCTGTATGAAGGCCCCGTCCCTGGGGTCAGGAGATGTGGATCCAAGTGAACGTTCTGGAGCTTTCTAAGCCATGTGAAGCTGCTCTCTGGGAGCCAGTTTTCTCATTTGTGAAATTGGGACAATATGCTCTATCTCTTGGGGTTCTTGTTGGTAGAGATAAGCACATAAAGCAACTTGCACCAGAAGCTGACAAGTCTTCTCTGGGGTCTAGGAGATCACTCACGAGAGAGTGGATGAGAATGGACAGAACCATCTGCTTCCTCAGGTGCCATCATACCAGTGATGGTCTTCACTTCACTGAAGACTGAAGTGTCTGTGGTCTGAGTTAATCAGACAAAGCTGGTGCCACAAGAATTGTTCGATGTGGGGCCCCCGGCCTAGAGAAGCAACCCTAACGGTAGTCAGGAAGGAAAGCCAAAGCCTGAGCCCGAGAAGCCTAACCGAGCATGGAGAGGTAAGAGTAAGAGGCAGAGAGGGGGCCACCACCCAGAAGAAGCCCAAGCAGGGGTTACGCTTCGATGGTTGACATGGGATGTCAGGGCTAGGGTATGGCGGGGGGGGGGGGGGCTCTCTCCTCCATGTGTGAAATGTTACCCCTATCACCCACCCCCCACACACACCTGCCCACACCTTCCTGGATGGACCCTTGCCCAGTTGTCTGTCACACCACTGCTCTGCTCTGGTTCTCACCCACAAAGAACAGGAAAACAAAGTGAGGAGCAAAGGCTGGGCCAGGTGAGAGGTTGCCCACCCTGGCTAGCAGCTGAAGGTGAGCAAGGCAATTGCAGGCCTCTAGCAATCTGGAAGGTCCCCTTGGTACAGATGTAAGAAACGAACCTTGCTTACACCTGATCTCAGATTTCCAGCCTCCAGAGCAGTGAGTTCCATCAAAGCCCAATCCCCTCGCCCACCTTACAAACCCAATTCCCACTGCACAGACCTCTGTAGAAACTCACTGAGCATCTATAAAGACTTCGAGGTAGTACCAGACCAACTCCATAGACCTAGGGTCCAGTTTGTGCGTCCTGTCCTCCGTCTCACGTCCACCTTCCCTTCCTTACTGCTGGCACTGGCCAGTGGGTAAGATCACCGTGCAGAAGCTCAATATCACCAGTCAATGCATAGAAGATGAAAGACAATTTAGGATTACCAATAATGTATAAAACAATAGGGTGTGTAAAAGATAGATATTGGGCTTTGTGTAATCTTTCATTGCGAATGTACTTCGTGAATTGCCAAGAAAATATGGCATGTAGCGTTTATCAAACTTTATTGTACTAATAGAAAATGTTATGGGCTTCCTAATTCATAAGTTGAAATCTGAACCTCCAGTGCCTCAGAATGTGACATGTGACTGTACTTGGAGATAGGGCCTTTAGAGAAGTAATTAAGTTCAAGGTGAGTCATCAGAGCAGGCCCTAATACAACAACTGGTGTCTATATAAAAAGAGGACATCCGGAGGGAGACAGAGATACCAAACAGGTGCAGGACCAGAGACATGATCATTTGAACACACAGCAAGAAAGTGGTTACAAGCCAAGGAGAGAGGCCTCAGAAGAAACCAACCTCGCCAACACCTTGGTCTCAGGCTTCGAGCCTCCAGAGCTGTGAGAAAATACATTTCTGTTGTTGAAGCCACTGAGTCTATGGTACTTTGTTGTGGTAGCCCTAGCAAACTAATGCAGAAAACCTATTAATATCTTAATGATCAGTTTGGAATATGCTGGAATAGCATCCATAATCATTTCAATACTATTTTATTAAAATTTATTGTAGGCACTTAGTCCTTTTTATGTGTTGGTTACCTAGTAGCACTGATTTGTAAGCACTAGCTTTCCCTACCTTTGTGTGAGTTCTTGGCACCGGACTCACACAAATGCTCGAGTGGGCATTACACACAAACACTGCACATTCTCGGGCTGTACTCTTAATCCCCAGCTGGGGCCACCGGGACTGTGGTGGCTTTGTACCACGTCAATATAGCTAAGCTGGAACTATATTTCCCCAAGAATGGGAGCAACCTTTGGAAGGCGGAAGTGACGCGGCGGCCATGGCTGTGGCCCAAGGTCGGTGAAGGCCTGCACTGTGGCAGCTCGCACACAACGCCATGCATCTGCGGGCTCCCTGCTTCTCCAGCATCCCTGAATCATAGGTTTGTGAATAACTCTGTGATGAAGTGCACCAGCTGTCCTGCAGGTCTGCTTCGCCATGGACGTCAGGAGGACAGGAGGCATTACAGAGCAGTGTGGGACATAGAGGTCCCATCTCATCCGCGCAGGTTCCAGAGTGTGTCTCCTCTCCTCACAGCTCCACTTGGCATCCATCCTCCCCTCCTGAAGCAAGCCTCGCCTACTGACTTCAGACCCACGTCTTGAGGCAGGGACAACAGATTGCACAGACTGCTTAACCAGCTCCCATAATCATGTACATTCTAATCCCTACAATAAACTCCTTGTTTCACTCAAAGTGGTTTTGCTTCTCCAATCAAACTTTAATTGATACAGATTTTGGAACTCGGGTGGCTGCTGCTGTAATAAAAACCTAAAACATGTGCACTGGCTTTGGGGACCAGCCTTGAAAAGTCTGTCAGCAAAGACTTGAAGAAACGCGAGGAAAATATTATTGGAACCTGAAAGAAAGGAGACATTTTTATGTAGCGGCTTGAGGGAGGTTTAGCAACATTGACACCCATGGTAACTTGGAAAATAGAAAATATACCAATGAACTGTGTGATCTGGCCGAGGAAATTTCCAGGCATCGTGTTGAAAGTGCCACCTGGCCTCTTCCAGCTGCCTACAATAAAATGAGAGAGTTATAAAGATAAGCTCAAGAGCAAACAGTTAAATATAAAGGTGACAGGACTTGCTGAGTTTGAAAACAAAATGGTTTCTCATTTCCAGATGGCAAACAAATCTAAAATTAAGAAAGGGCTTCTGGATCTGGTTCCAGTAAAGATGGAGCAAGCAGATTCCATTGCGTCTCTCCCACTGGTTACATCTAAAAACACTAGATAGAACACATAAAGCACTAAGGAGAACTCTGAAAGGTAATAATAATAGCAGGAGGGTTGGGGAATGGGATCAAAACTCCAAGAAAGACCAATAAGGTGGTGAGAAGTCTGGAGTGTTTTTCCTTTCACATCTCTTGGCATAAACTCATGACAACTTGAAATTTGAAATGGTTTAAGTTGCACAAACAGAAAAAGATGCAAGAGAAACCTTCTCTTCCTGATCAAAAGAATACAGAGGGTGGGGTACCTGGATGGCTCAGTCTGTTGAGGGTCTGACTCTTGATTTTGGCCCAGGTCATGACCTCAGGGTCATGAGATCGAGCCCCACGTAGGACTCTGTGCTCAGCAGGGTCTGCTTCGGATTCTCTCTCCCTCTCCCTCTGCTCCTTAGCCCTGCTTGGGCAGGCTCTCTCTATATATATCTTAAAAAAAAAAAAAAAAAAAAAAGGAAGGGGAGTCTGTGCCTGAAAGAGAGAGTCATGAGGGAAATCCTGAGTTTTTCTTTCCTTCCGACCAGCCCTGATTCCACGAAGCATTGAGACAGGCTTCTTGGGGAGGGGGTGATTGTACTTTGCTGTGGGAGGGGTATGAGTCATTGTGGCCAGAGGGCAGACTGTGGCAGACTTTATCACCTAGAGATGACCATCAGAGTATCTCCCATCCTGTGTGCTCTTTTGACATCTTTTATCATCTCTCCTTAAGAAGTGAAGTCTGTATCTCTTCCCCTTGAATCTGGGTGGACCTTTGTGACTACATCAACTAATACGGTATGGCAGAAATGATGCTATGTAACTTCCAAAGCTCGATCATAAAAGGCAATGCAATTTGCTCCTGGCTCTTTCTTTGGACGTGTGCTGTTGAAGCCCAGCCGCCATGCTATGTGGACATGTGCTGTTGGGGCCCAGCTGCCATGCTGTGTGGACATGGGCTGTTGGGGCCCAGACACCATGCTGTGTGGACATGTGCTTTTGGAGCCCAGCCACCATGCTGTGTGGAAGTCCACAGCACATGCAGAAGCCGCACATGAGTGTTTCATGGCTGCCCCAGCTGAAATTCAGTGCTGACAGCCAGTGTTAACCTCAGAGTCCAGTCCCAGCCACCACCAGACTTCAAGCACATGGAAGACCCCAAGCCAGAACCGCCTACCAAAGCCAAATCAGCCCCTACAATTATAAAAGATAATAATAATTTTTAAAAAGATAATAATAAATATTTTTTATTGTTTTATGCCACTCAAGTTGGGGTGGTTTGTCATATGGCAATAAGTAACTGGAACAGGAACCATAAAAACAGCTGTTCCAGTTTCTTGGTCATCAGCTCTTGGACTTTCCCCAAATCTATTCTCCTACCTCCCACTTGGAACAGCCAGCCCTACATATTGATTGCCAAAGTCTTGTCACCCTGTTGTTCTCACACTTCTCATCTTGATCCTCATTGAATGGGAAACCCCATAGCCCAGACAGCGACATTAAGAATTGCCTGCAAGATCCACCCTCAAGCCTCACCCTTCAGGTGTGGGACCAGCAGAGCAGGAAGGAGGGCCTGTCATGACTTGGGGATAATAAGCCTACAGAGGTCAGAAGCTTAGCAGCCCCTTGCGAAAGTGAGAGAGAATAATGAGTATAATTGTTGTAATTATCAGAATTTACAGAAATCTAAAGAAATGTTGTGGAAAATGCAGAATAAATCCTAAGAGGAAAAGAGAAAAATCAGAAGAAGAGAAAAGTGGAAATAAAAGGGAAATGACAAAAACATAGGAAAAATAGACACAGCTTTCCAAGAAATAGAGGGAAAGATATAAAGCTCAGGCGGTGAGAAGTGGAAAATGACGGTAGACCACAGACAGTGCCTAATGCTTGTGAGGAAGTAGAAAAGTCCTGCGAAGGGCTACAGATGTGTGTGGAGCTCCAAGGTGTTGTACAAAAAACGTGCTCGCACTTTACTGTATGTAATCTATACTTGATCAAAAAAGTGAACAAGAGGGGAAAAAAAAGTCCTAACTGGACTAATGGATACTGATCTTACACCTCTGCTCTCAGAACCGTAATATTCAAGTCAGTTATATATCTAATAATAATAATGCAAAACCGTGAGCCTTGAAGATGAGGCCTAAAATTCTGAGCGTATTTCAGGAAGAAATTTCTCTCTGGATGATTGTGCTTTCAATGGTACATACAACATTGATAGAATGTTGAATGACAGAAGTTGGCTTCCTGACCTCTGTTAGGATGGTAATCCTTTAAGGAACAAAGCATGCCATACGATTAAATAGATCATGCTGAAAGAAGATGAGAGCCAGGACAGAAGTAGAGAAAAGCCATAACTAAAGAAGCAAGACAGTAGAAATCAACAATCTGTAGAGTGTGGCCCCGTTTTACAGAAAGACACCAAACCAAAGCAGCATGTTCTTCCCTACCAACAGCCCTTGAATGAGAAAACATTATCCTACTGATCTGAGACAGACCCTAAGAGAAGATAACAGAATCTGGCTTTACTTCTCATAACACCCTGGTTTGAGATGGCTTTTGATGGAACATTCCAACCAGTGCGCTTGAGCAGATGGGGTACAGGTGGGCCAAAATATTGACTCCCTCATCCTTGTGGGTGGCCATGTCAGCCCCATGCATTTACCCCAGCAGGCAATATACAAATATTTTCTTTTTCTTTTTTTTTCAAATATTTTCTATCGTTATTATTTTCTGTATGTGTCCAGCAAGATGGAGAAAGTTGAGAGTTGTAGTTGAATTGATCATTTATGGGCAAGGCCTTCTTGTAGGTAACAAGTGTATGCATAATCTACCCTGATTCCAACCTAGTGAAGAAGGGAAATCCACTTCCAACAACTTATTATCCTCTTGGAACCCTTCCTCCAACCTGGGCTTTACTCCCCAATTTATGTGGAAAGAAGTAGACTCAGGTAGTGGAAGGGTAATGGACTAAAGGCCCATTTGTCACCGATCAGTAAGTGACCTTGGGCAAATTACAAAAGGCATCTCATGAAATCCCTTCACTAAATCAATGAGGAACCTAGGCTGAGGGTGCTTAGTTGGAAATATCAAAGCCATGGCTACTGAGAACACCAAGACTACAATCCGAATTCTTTCTAATGCCAGCATGAGGCAGCCACTGCCCTTGAACCAGATTCCTGCCCCGCATGCCACAAGTAAGTTACTCATTTAAAACACAAAAGAAAAAAAAAAAAGCACTATGTCCACTGTCACAAAGGGAAATCAGTGGGCTGTGGTCCAGGAAGACTGGCTGGTACCAGGCAGGAAGTTCAGAATGGGCAAAGGGCCTTGGCACACTCATCACGTTGAAAGATCAGAGTTCTGTTTTGCTGCTCCAGAAACCCCGGAATTGGCTGCATGGGGGGAGGACAGGCTCACACCAGCTATCCCCAAAGACCTGAAATATAAACCAGAACACCAGTTTATTACTTCATTAAGGGGAATAAGTCTTCCCAAAGGCTCCTCTGTCTCCAGCAGCCCCTTCCAGACATCCAGTTCACCTGGGGAGCATGAAATCCCAGCACCCCGGGCTCAGTGAGTCCTGCTCACTCACGAGAGGGGATCCGTGACAGCCTCTTACTTCTCCTGCCCTCCCCAAGCCCCAGGGCTGAATTCAGCTGCCTGGATCCTTGCTTAAGAGCGTTTCTTTCAGCCCTGCCTCTCCTATTAACATCTGTCCCTCCCTACAGAGAGCAAACACAACCGATTCCCATTCCCCCATGGTAATAACACTCAGGACGCTTGGTCTGGGTAGGTCCTGATGCAACGTTGGTTAGTGTGGGGCACCTCTACTTCCTTAGTCAATGATTTACTGACCTTCCTGAGTCTGGCTGCACTCACTCTCTATTGATACATCCTCTCTTAGTCCCAGAGGTTAACTTGATCTCAAAGTTGCGTCTTGTTGCTCCCCCCACCCCCCTGCACTGACCTCAGAATCTGCTAGAAGCAACGCCTAGTGACTAGGTTGGGTGCCACCCAAAGAATTCTCACAAACCATATTTTGGGAAATCATGAGGTTAACATGCATTATAGTTGCTCATTTGGGATTTTCCCGCCCTGTGGCACATGGGGCTGATGTTGCCTCTCTGAAACACACTTTAGTATAATGTCTTCACTTATTCTCACCGCTCCCCCTCCCTTAGTCCACTTTCCTCATCGTTTGGCCACTTTCCCCCTCCATATTTATACACGGGGCTCACACACCACCATTAGCTGTGCTGACAAACTGCCCCACTTCCTGCTGGAGAGCAGCAAAGATGAAATCCTTGCTTTCGGTGCACAGCTCCACTGCCAGCCCTCAGCCCCGAGCCTTCTTGGGGCCTCAATTTCCTCACCTGCAAAATGGTGACAGTCCCTTTTGTCACCTGTCTTCTTCACAAGATCGCTGTGAAATTCAAATAAGATAATATAGCTAAAAATACTGTGAAAGACTTGGCAAGCCACACAAATGTAAGGAAAACATGCAGTCATTTGCAACACAAATAATTAGGCATTCATGTTCATTCATTTAAATGTGGCTTTGTTCCTTTCTTGTATCTAATTAAATCAAGAGAAATGTCAGGTGTAAGATTCTTAGGGACCAGGATTATATTTTTGCAGGGCAAGAGAAATATGCCCTCGAGTGGCCTGGAAATATAATTAAGTGGGTTTTCTATGCTTTAGGATTAAAGCCCTATCTGGAATTCTTATGGCTTTTTATCTTTCCAACCATTTTGATGCTAATGCAGGAAAGTTCAGCAGGGATGAATATTCTAAATATATATTACTTTGTCTAA